GGAACTGCCCGCAGGGTCTCCAAGGCTGTCAATCTTCACAGAAGCAAAGCCCAAACCACACCCACTGCCGTGGAGTCCATTCTGACCCACAGCGCTCCTAGAGGACAGAGTGGAACTGCCCACAGAGTCTCCAAGGCTGTCAATCTTCACAGAAGCAGAGCCCAAACCACACCCACTGCCTGAAGTCGATTCTGACCCACAGCGCCCCTAGAGGACAGAGTGGAACTGCCCATAGGGTTTCCAAGGCCACAGTCATTATGGAAGCCGACTGCCACATCGTTTTGGCAGTGGAGCAGAGTGGAGCAGCTGGTGGGTTCAAACTGCTGACCTTTTGGTGAGGAGCCAAATGCTGGGACTGCTGTGCTACCAGCGTTCCGATAAATGCCGCCCTTGTTGGTGTTTTGAAGGGAAGGACCTTGTTGTTGATAATTTATCGTGTTTTCTCAGTTCTGTGTCAGTGATTTCTCTGTACTCTTTGCATGGGGCAGGGTCCCTGAGGAGCCCTCATCACAGGCCAGCTTGACCGTCTACTTGAAACTTCACGAAACCGTCTGTGAAATCACAAAAGAACCAAGGTTTTACAAGATGCCTGCCTTGTCTGCAGAGATTCTTGGCAGAGTCGTTTCATGTCAGCCTGTGGTGGTGAGTGGAATAAATGCACGCTAATATCACCCCAGACCACTGTGGCATTTCAGGCAGCCTCAGTTTACAGAGTGGGTAGCCCAGGTGCACCAGTCTGGGACTGCTGGCGTGAGGGGGGCGTTGACCTGGCGACCGAGCACAGGTGGTCCCTGACTTGGGAGGTGTTTGAGGTGTGACAGACTGGAGCCATCTCTTGTGTTTGGGTGTATGTGCTTGTTAGGGGCATGTTCTATATGATGGTAGCGAAAGCAGTCGTGACGAAAACTAAAGAGAGTGAGGTATTCAACCTGTGTCAGACCCGCCTTCCGACGGCGTCGTCAGAACAGAACCTGTTGTGAGTTGGGGACTACCTGCATTTATCCAGGAGCTGCTCAGTGCCAGTTTGGCTCTTAGCTTTGAAGACACACGGTGAACAGGAATCCAAGTCCTTGTCCTCTCGAGTTCACCTTGGAAGGCAGGTCAGGGAGGAGGGGACAGTGCACATGTGAATATAGTGAACCTGATGACTGGGGGCTCAGAAGGCTCCAAGTTTGCTATTTGTAGAAGGTGGCAGGGCAGCCAGGGGAGACCCCACTGGTAAGATACTCGTGAGAGCTGTTTAGCAGGAAGGGTCAACAGGGTTGGTGAGTTACTGGATGGGGGGATGGGGGGATGGGAGGGAGGAGGCAGTGTAACACTTTAGGCTCCAGCTTGAGTGGCACGTGGGTGGTGGACGCATGGGCTAGGGGCCACAGGAAGAGGCTCAGTACCTGGAGGAGGAGCTGAGTTGGAGGTAGACCTGGAGTTTGAATTGTTGGGAAGATGGCCTACGTTTGGTCTTGGACGTGTGGTTTGAGCTGCTGGCAGGAGGCCCGAGTTTGGTCTCACAGGTGCAGTTTGAGGTGTCCTGAAGCAGGCCCCTCAGTAGGCATCAGGCAGGCAGGTGGAGCCCTGGAGTGGAGTCCTCTCTGCCCATGGTGTTGACGTGTAGAAAGACTCCCGGGCATGCGAAGGGCCTGGCTGCAGCTGGTGGCTGGGGAAGATGAGAAGGAAAAGTGTGCGGCTGATTGTGTCACGTGGGCTGCAGGGCTGCTGCCTGAGGAGTTAGGAGGTCTGGCTCAGTGGACTAGGGTGGGACCCGACTGGCCTGTACGTGAGGTGCAGTCTAGATGTGAGAAAGGGTCTGGAGGCAGCAAAGAGCTCTGATGGGGAAGGTGAGTGGGTGCAAGGTTTCCGCCAGGTTCAGGGTCAGGTGGTGGGGCTGGGTGATGACAGTGGGATGTTGGCGCTTCGTGTCCATGTCAGTGAACACCAGCCGACACTGGGGCCCCCTGGGTGTGACCCTGGGTGTTGCTGACTGAAGCAAGTATAGGCTGAGGCCACTGGATGGGAGATTCCAAGGAGCTTGGCTCCTGGGGAGTCCAGGTGTCAGCCCCGTGGACGGAATGGTTATTGGAACCAAGTTGGGACTTGGGGGCAGAGAGGAGGGGCTGGGTGAGTGGCAGAGGCCCCTGGAGTGAGAAGGGGCAAGCGGACGGCATTGTTGGAGGTCTGAGGCTCCATGAAAGGAAGCAGGTTTGTGGGTGGAGAGAGGGCACAAGGGAGGTGAATCTTCCAAAAGATCACTCAGTGGGAAGGAGCCAGGTGCAGGCTGTCTCCTGGCAGACAGACCGCCAGTCTCATCCCGGTGGGGTTCAGGAACAGCCTGCACGCATGCGCGTCTGGGGTCCTGGGGGCTACATGCTGGGAGCTCCAGCCTTTGGGGGCTGTCTTCCTCACCCACTGGGAGGAACTGTGAGCCTGTCTTTGCTGGAGCCCATGGACCTGGGCTGGCTGCTGAGGCAGGCCTGCTTCTACTTTTGTCAAAACTTAGGGTGACTTTTCCTGGGGGAGTTCCTGCCATCTGACTCTCCCCACGCCCCCCACCTTCACAGTGGATACCCAACATTCTGGGAAAGGTGAAGTGCTTTTTTAAAAGATGTTGGTGTCTTATCCCGCAGCGGGTGTGAACATATATGTACAACTGAAATGTAGCTGTTCATTGAGCGTGGCGTGTCGAGTCATCCAGGGAAGCCCCACGTAGCGTCTCTGCCAGCTCCTGGTCCGCTGCACCCAACTGTTAAACCTCCTCTCTTCCCTGATAATAGGACTCAGCCGAGATGCAGGGCAGTGAGAAAGGAAGGAAGGACCCAGTCAGAACGGTGTTCCAGGGAGCTCTCACCGCTACTCGCCGTTGGCTTGGACGTGTTTTTGCAGCCAGAATGTTCCAGAGTTCACTTTTATCTCAGGTTGCATTCACGTATCCTGAGGAAATGGAGGTGAGCTTTGCTGAGAGTGTTGACACCATGGGAGGGTGGGGGTCTGGTGGGCCGGTCAGGAGTGAACGAGCTCGCTCACCGGCTGGGCCCCTGGGGCCACATAGCCAGGTACGGGCTCTCGTCTGTGAAACAGATTGCTCATGTGACAGGCATGTAAAGCTTCCACGAGGTTTCCGTGTGGAGTGTTTATCATGGTGCTTGCTGGCCACTGTGGCCCCGGTGGTGGGGCATGGCTGCCAGGGATGCCAGCGCAGGCTTGCAGCGAGAGACCTGCGAGTCTGCCTCTGCACTGAGGTTACGAGTCAGGCTGTGACCTTGGGAATGGAGGAAGAAGAGGGGAGCGAGAGCTGTTGGAGAGGAAGATGGGAGTGAGCTGCCAGGGCTGGCTGCGTGGACCACAGCAGGTTGGGGGTGGGGGACCCCCAGAAGGAGGATCCTCAGTGGGGCCATGTGCTCCAAAGAAGGAGGGACAGAGGACGGAGGTGGGCTTAGGTTTGCCAGTGGGTCAGCGGAGACCCCTGGAGCATTGGCAGCAAGTGGCTGGGAAGCTGCTGGATGGAGTTCCTGGCTGGGAGGGTTGGGGGCTCGTGCTTGGTTTGTTTCTGTCTTAAACCCCTTTGCGTTTCTACTGTATCCAAGGAGTCATGGAGCCTCTGTGTACTGACCCACTTGTGCGCAGGGCTGTTGGGTCAGCCACAGAACCCACCTGCAAGTATCTTTCCCCTTGACGTGGAATCTCCCCTAGGTTCTGAAGACGCTAGTCGGGGGTCGTGTGCCCTGTGGGATCTCTGGCTTGATAACTCAATGTGGCCCCACAGAGTGGGCTCCAGTCACACTTCTTCTTCTTCTTCTTTTTTTTTTTAATTGTGATTTGGGTGAAAATTTACAGAGCAAATTCACTTTCCATACAGCAGTTCACATACACTTTGTCTCATGACATTGACTGCAGTCTCCCACAATGCAACAGCTCCCCTCCCCACAGTTACCTCTTCCTTGTGTCCTTCCCTCCCATGCACTCCTGCCCCCGGAGCTGTCTCCCTGTGCAGACACAGCCCTTCTTTCTCCCATGATTCATCTGCCCAAGGAGTGTATCTGCCTGATGTAAATATTCAACTCATATGTCTGTCTGTCGTTTGAGTGGAAGCACAGGAGTGGTTCAGTTCCAGACCTAATGGGCAGCTAGGGGCCATAGTCTCAGTGGTTCC